ATGAATCATTTTTAGAATTTTCAAAAGAAAAGCAGGAAATAAATATTTCTTATGACTTTCTCTAATGTTTTCTCATTTGCTCCCCAAGCAGGAATCAATTTAAGGATGACAGAATTATCTGCATTTTTACAGATGAGTAAACTGAGGTCCAAAGAAATTAGGTGAATTTCTCAAAGTCATAAGACAGGAGGTAGTGGAGCTATCTATTGTTTGAAACTAGTGCTAATTCCAAAGGTGAGGGCCCCTGCCACCTCCCCAGTTTTGCAAAATGCCTCTGATGCTCCAGAAACCGTAGGTATGCAGAATCAGTTATAGAATGTGTGAAAAATGAACATATGAGGACTCTTGTTCAGAAAGTATAAGGAATTCAAGATGGCAACAGCAGAGCCTTAAACCAAGCTCAGGAGGTTGTGCACAGGTTGTATGCCCACAAAGCTGATCCTGATGCTAAGTGTTAATCCCTACCAAACATTTTTTTTTTTTTGTGGTGCTGGGGATAAAACCCAGGACCTTGTACATGTGAGGCAAGCACTCTACCAACTGAGCTATATCCCTCGCCCTCCACTAAACATTTTGATCAAATAAGAAAGTCTGCTATGTAAGGGATATAAAAAAAGAAGCTATGTAAGGGACATAAAAAAAGTTAATAAGGAACTTTAAAATCAGGCTTCTTTTAGGTGCTTAGAGGCACCTGGTAGATAGGAGCCCCACAGCTGAGTGTGAGCATATTGGATTCTAGTAACAGCCCTTCAAATAACTTCCTGTTGACCTTGCATGCTATCCAATTTCTTAAAGCTTTGTTTACTCTTCTGTAAGCCCATAGAGGGCAGGGTAGGGAGGTAGTGGACTACATTAGTGTCTCCCCACCTCTAGTTATTTATATGCCACATTTTTAATATAGTGGTTATGACCATGGACTCTGGACCCACCCTTCCTGAGTTTTAATCTTGACTTTAGTTAAGTGATCTCAGGCAAGTGCCTCAGTTTCTTAGTCTGTAAAATGAAGACTGTGAGATTAAATATGTAAGATGAGTAAATGAATTCACTAATAAAGCCTTCAGAATGATGGGTGATGTGTGATACATGCTTATTAGTATTGTTACTATAAATCATATGGAACCTTTACTAGTACTACTAGTACAAATGCTTTTTTTAAAAAAACATGATTTGCTTTTTAAGTTAAAAAATCATCTATAGTTTTGTCCTAAGCAAAATTATCCGTGAAACCCCAGATTCATGTGTACGTGTGGTTTTTTTAATACATGTGAAAATCTAGGACTATGGAGTATTCTAGAAAGTTCATTTAATGTCTCTCTAAAACCAGCTGAAATATTACCAATGGGATGGGCACCACGCAGTGGGTGGCACTGTGCTAGCGATGGAAGCCCCTCCAGCTTTAATCATTTGTAAATAAGGGAATCTGTATCTTCTTTCACTTGACATATTCATGACTGAAATATTTCTATCCACTTTGGTCACTTCTCCCCAGAATAAAATCTTTCCTGGTTAGCTACATGTTCCAGTGGCAAAGTATTTAAACAGAGATGAGAGATTGTAAGTAAATAATATAAATGGTGAAAATATTGATGAATCAGTGGAGTCCTCTCAAGAAATCTCCTTAAGTCTAACAAGGGAGGAGACTTAGAGCAGTGAAAGATTGGGACAAAATACAAACAGGAAGGCACAGAGTGGTCTGCAGAGGCAAGGAATCTGCTTGAAGATCCATGCCATTTCCTTTGACTGCTGCGTTTTACCCCAGTTCCTTCTACCTAAATCTTACATCACAGTCCCTGTTCAAATTCTACCTCTTCAAAGTCCTTTTTGACTGTTCTAACTTGAAGTTCCTTTTTTCCCCCCATTTGCAAAGTACTGTATAATAATGTAAGACATATTTCTTAAGCAAACAGCATAGGCACTGTTCTAGGCATACAGGACACATGCTGAACCCCAGTACCCTAGCCTAAAGCAGTGGACAAGTTGCTAATGAATAGGAAGGAGTTCTGTTCCCTTGCCCAGGATGGTTGATTCAGAGATTGTCTTGCCCCTTGCAGGGGGATACTTAATCTATTGCTTTTATGTTCCTCAAAGCTCCGAAGGATCCTCCTTAGCTAAGTATTTGTTATCAAAGAAGCTGTGTAAGGGACATAAAAAGAGTTAAATAAAGAACTTTAAATTAGGCTTCTTTTAGTTATCTCAAGTTGTCATGAATTCAATCTCTGACCTTCTCATAAACATCAGCAATTGTTAGATATGAAAAATCTGTAATGCAAATATAATACACATTGCTCAGAAGTAAAATTTTGGAATTTCAGAAGAGGTAAGACCTTGAAGTCAATGAAAGTGACTTTACAGAACAACTTGAATTCATATGTAAAGCTGTGAACAGTTGATCTAAGAGAGTCATATTAGTTATTAACAACAGAAGAGAGACAATCAACAAGGATGATGGCGTGGTGGGCACTCTCCAAAGGAATGGTTGGAATGAAGAAAATACCTTGGGGGAAGAAATGAAAAGCTCTTGAATATTCTACAAAAGTCAGTATGAAGTGAAGGCTATTAAATGGTACCATGATAGCAATGTTGTCAGAAAAATAATGCCCTCAAACCCACATTTAATCCATACTTTGTTCATTTTAAAAACTAGAGTATAATTGTTCTTCTCATTTAATTTTGCCAAATGAGAAACAAATTTTCATAATTTTTTGTTTCATCATTTTTATTTTCTTTAAAAGTTTTAAAAACATTTTTATTTATATATGGACACAATACCTTTATTTTGTTTATTTAGCTTTTTTTATGTGCTGCTGGGGATGGGACCTAGCTAGGCAAGAGCTCTACCACTGAGCCACAACCCCAGCCCCTCACCATTTTTATTTTTTACAGCAGAATTCCAAGCAAACTCTTCCTCTTTCTCGTGTCTATGCTATTTTTCTCCCTCCCCTCTTTTATTTTTTTAAAATATTTATTTTCTAGTTGTAGGTGGACACAATACCTTTATTTTATTTATTTATTTTTATGTAGTGCTGAAGATCAAACCTAGGGCCTCGCAGGTGCTAGGCGAGTGCTCAACCGCTGAGACACAACCTCAGCCCCCTCCCCTCTTTTAAAAAATGTGTTTATTTAAGCAAATTTTTTCTGATACTAATTATCCTTGCACAAGAACTTCAGTCATTCACTATTCAATTCCATCAGGGTTGATCAGCATTATTCTTCTAGAACCAATGACCAAGAACAGCAGGAAGGAAGGGGACAACTGGCTTTCTTGATTCTAATGCAGAGAGCAAGGGTTCAGTTTTTCACAGATAAAAACACTTCTAAAATTCATTTAGAAAAATAAGAAACCCAGAATGGCCAAACCAATTAAAAACAAAAATAAATGCTGAAGGCATCACAATACCTGACTTCAAATTATACTACAGAGCTGTAGTAACAAAAACTGCATGGTACTGGCATAAAAACAGACACATAGGCCAGTGATACAGAATAGAAGACACAGAGACTAAGGTGCCAAAATCATATGTTGGAGAAAAGACAGCCTTTTTAATAAATGATGCTGGGAAAACTGATTATGCATATGTAGAGGGAGAGATTAGTTCATATCTTTCACCCTGAACTCAGAGTGGATCAAATAACTAGGAATTAGACCAGAAATACTGCAATTTCTAGAAGAAACCACAGGGCCAACCCACCAAAATATTAGTGCAGGCATTGACTTCCTTGATAAGATCCCTAATACTCAAGAAATAAAACCAAGGGCTAGGGGGCTGGGGTTGTAGCTCAGTGGTAGAGTACTTCATTAGCATGTGTGAGGCACTGGGTTTGATCCTCTGCACCACATAAAAACAAATAAATAAATAAAATAAAAGTATTGTGTCCATCTACAAACAACAACAACAACAAAATTAAAACAAACAAACAAACACCAAGGGCTGGGGTTGTGGCTCAGGGTGGAGTGCTTGCCTTCACATGTGAGGCACTGGGTTTGATTCTCAGCACCATGTTAATAAATAAATAAATAAATAAATAAATAAATAAATCGTGTCCATTTACAACTAAAAATATTAAAAAAAGAAATTAAACCAAGAATCAATAAGTGGGATGGAATCAAATTATAAAGCTTTTGCATAGCAAAGGAAACAATAAAGAGTGTGAAGAGAAGCCTACAGAATGGGAGAAAATCTTTGCTAGCTACTCTCTGACAGGGGATTAATATCCAGAATATATATAAAACACTCAAAAAGCCTCCACCCCCCCAATGATCCAATTAATAAATGGACAAATAAACTAAACAGACACTTCTCAAAAGAAGAAATACAATGATCAACAAATATATGAAAAAATATCCAACATCTTTAGCAATTAGGGAGATGCAAATTAAAACTACACTGAAATTTCATTTTACTCCAGTTACAATGGCAGCCAGCGAGAATACAAAAAATAACAGATGTTGTAAAGGATATCAGGGAAATGTTGTTAGTGGTGTTGCAAATTAGTATAACTGCTATGGAAATCAGTATGAAGCTTCCTCAAAAGATTAGGAATGGAATCACCATTTGACCCAGCTATACCTCTCCTCAGAATATATCCTAAAGAATTAACACATGCATACTCATGATTATAGTAGCTTAATTCACATAAGCCAAATTATGGAACCAGTCTAGGTGTTTCCATCAACAGATGAATGGATAAAGAAAATGTGGTCTACATACCCAATGGACTTGTATTCAGTCATAAAGAAGAATGAAATTATGTAATTTGCAGGAAAACGATGGAACTTGAAAGCATGATGTTAAGTGAAATAAGCCACATTCAGAAAGCCAAGGCCATATGTGGAAGCAAGAGAGAAAAAAGAGGGGGCAGGGGAAAGCAAGCAAGCAAGCAAAGGTCCATAGAACCAGCCAGATTTCTCTAAGAATGGAGGTGTCTAGTCCAGTTAGGAGGTAATTTTGGGATAAGCCTGTTCAAGACCTTAAAAAAAGGCTCCAGGGGAAGTTGCTTACCCACAAAGCACCAGACTGCAAACCGGATCCATGTGATGGTGGAGAGCTTTAGCATGAGATAGATGTTCACCAGCATGGCAAAGGCAGGCACAAAGGGGAGGCAAGGCGCCATGTAGGGCAGCTTCTTGGGGTTCTCTGGCTGCTGCAGGATCACAAACACCAGGGCGCTGATCAGCAGCACCATCAGAACAACCAGAAGGATGGCCCACCAGCTCTGCTCTGAGATGTAGTCAGAACCAAAGATGATGAAGGAGCAGAAGATGAACATGAGGATGAAGAGCAGGAGCACGCAGATGGTCACCGTGTGCCCGGTTGCTGCTGTGGGCCGGTCCATTTTGCCTGGAAGACCCAGTCGGATTCTCAAGGTGTAGTAACGGGGCCCAATCAGCTTCTTCAACTTGATGAGATAAATGTTTTCAGATTCATCAGCTTCTATGCCTGTGGTCATGTCCACGGTGCCATAGTTGGGGTGGTTGACATTGTAGGTGGACTTGTCTGATTTCCCAATGAGCATCTCATTGTCTCCCAAAGATGGTAGGTTTTTGGCCCCACATGTATTGGTGGCCGGGCTGGAAAACTCTTCCCCTTCACTCACAGGAGAACAGGTTTCCTTCTCACATTCGGCCAGAATGCCCTCCTTCTTCTTGGTGTGCTCCTCAGACAAGAACTTGACAAAACCATCAATGTCACTCTCAGGTTGGTATCGAAGGAGCAAGACACAGACGGAGACCAAGGTGTAGGCAAGGAGTGTGCCGATGGACATCATCTCTATCAGGTCTCTCAGGCTCACCAGCAGCGAGAGCAGAGCTGCCAGGAACCCTGACACAATGCAGGCCACCACTGGAGTCTCTGTGTAGGAGCTTACGTGAGCCAGGAACCTGCAGCAGAGGAGCAAGCGGAGAGTTAATGGCATGCCACACAGATGGTGACTGATTCTAACATGGCCAATGTAAGGGACCAGAGTGTTTGTAGGTTTGTGTGGTTAGCGCCTCCTCATCCTGCCCTTCCAATTTACTTGTGCACACTGCCTTAATTCTAATTGCTATTTCTACGTTATGGGTTGGCTCCTGGGGTGTCATTTAGAGAGAATTCACTTTAATTCCTTGATTTTGAGGCAAACGTCTTCATTAAATTTTCTATTCACTATGAGACAAAGAAGGCGGAATCTAGGAGGTCTGTGGGAGATCTAAATTAGAGCCCAAGGCTATGCTGGGAAAAAGGGATGGTTAGAGGAAGTCATGCAACTGCTTGGGAATCCCCCGAACCTGTGGGTTTGCAGCATCAGCATCACCTTTAGCTTGTTAAAAGTAGATCTTGTCAGGTTTTACCAAGATCTGCTACCTCAGAATCTCTCAGGGTGGTGCTTAGCAAATTGCTCTTTAAAAGACCTCTAAAGGGTTCTAGAGCTTGAGAAAGACTGCCTTGCAATAAAAGTACAGAAGTGTAGCTGGACAAATAGCCCAATAATTAAGAAGCTGTGCTCAGAGATACAGGTTCAAGTTTAGCTAGTTACTCCCTAAAGAAGAGAAGACCAACAGGGCCGTCAATGGCATGCACTTCTGTTGCAGTTCCTATAGGATGAAGGAGGCTTCCTCTTCCTCTCTCTTCTCCTGGTCCTGCCTCCTTCATCCTCTATCATTTCTCCCTTATTTTCAAGATTCACACAGAACTATAAATTTGCCCAAAGTCCCTGCATCTTCCCTCTTTGTTTTCTTTGAAGCATAAAGCATAAAAGCATTTTGGATGTGTGATGTGTTCACTCCTCCATCAATGTAAGCCCTTCTTTTTCTTTTCTTTCTTTATTATTATTATTTTTTAATTTGTTCTTTTTAAAAAAATTTTTAAGTCATTGATAGGCCTTTATTTTATTTATTTATATGTGGTGCTGAGAATCAAACCCAGTGCCTCTCACATGCCAGGCAACTGTGCTACTGCTAAGCCCCAGCCCCAGCCCCTTAATTTGTTCTTTTTAGTTATACATGACAACAGAATGTATTTTGACATATTATAAATACATGGAGTATAACTTCCCATTCTTATGATTGTACATGGTGTGGAGTTACACTGGTTGTGTATTCATACAGGAACATAGGAAAATTATGTCTGATTCAGTCTACTGTCTTTCCCATCCTCATCCTCCCATTCCCTTCTTTCCCCTTTTAGACAACATTTGGTCTTTGGTAAGCTCTTCTTGATCTGCTTACCAACCCATACATGGAGCAGATGACAGTTGGTGGTAGAGATAAACTACCTGGGGCAGCTCTCTCTGCACTCCTGAGAGTTCCTTGGCTTCCCATGGTGGGCCTGGGGACCAAGTGGCAGGGCCACATCCCTTTATGCCCTGGGAAGATAGGCCAATTCATTGCCAATGTAGGGGATTAGAACTGTCCGTCCATATGTTAGTAGTTAAGAGTTTGGCTTTGGGAGTCAGATAGTTCTGGGTTCAAATCTTAGCCTCTGAATCAGAGATTTGAGGTAATATTTGTTTTTTAACCTCTCTAATTCCTAGTATACCCATCTGCAAAACAGAGTTGTTGTGAGAACTAAATGGGATACTATACACAAAGCACCTGGGAAAGTCCAACAATAGTAGCTATTGCTGCTACAGTTACTAGATTCTGTTGTGAGGGTTTTATCTTCTTTCTGATTGTTAATTTTTTTTTTAAACTTTAGTGGAGCTGTGAAGATAGGGACAGGCAACTGGTCTCAATATGAGGGCAGGTCTAAAATGTCCCCTGGGCAGGTTCTTCCCTTTGGAGCCCCACCTACACCCTTTCCTCTAGTCCTTTGTATAGTGATTTGACACTCACCATCTTCACAAGGGGTATACAATGTCAAAGAGAGAAGGGCAGGTGAGGGAATAGGTCCATTAGTACCAGTTAGTACCAGACTGAGGGACCCTGAGTCACTCTGAGGGACTGTTTTAGGGCCTGAGCTCTTTAGACTCAAACTCTCTCTCAAGATATATAACAAGGTCCACAGTGTATGTGAAAAGCACTTATCAAAATTCTGTCCAGTTGACAGTGGGTGACAGTTTTCCTTGAAAGACACAGGACGGCAGAGGACATTTCACAGAGCATAGCCCTTACCTGAAAAGGAGCCCATCACCAGCCATGGCATAAATGACCCTTGGCATTGGGAAGAGGGAGCCCAGCAAGCTGACTGTCAGTCCTGCAACCGACCCAATAGCTACTACAAATTTTGCAGCATAGAAACCGTGAGCCACAAACATCTCCATGAGTGGGGATTCTGTGTCAATGGCGTAATATGGCACCATCAGAGTTAAGATCATGCTCACCTGTGAAAAGAAGAGAAGATATGGCTGGAGGTGGAGAAACTGACAGCATGGTAGATGGCCTGCAGGAGAAGAGGTCCTCTGGACCTGGAGGCAGAGCCTTGCACAGCAGTTTGGATCTACCACTGATTGGCATGTGGCTTTATTTTAGATCAGTTATTCAGCCTCTGGGGCTCTTGGCCTCCATTTCTTCTCACATGCAACTTTAGCGAACTGGTTCAAATAATGTCTAATATCTCTCTGTGGCCTTCTCATATCTGAGGAGTAAGTGTTTCTGCCCCATGAAATCAGAGCTACATGGATAGTGCAATGGGGACAGACACTACCAGATGGAAGGAGCTGTATCCAGGAAGGTCACTGCTAGCAGTGACCGTGAATAGCTGCCCTCAAGGACAAGACTCTCAGTTCTTTTATTCTTTCAGGGTCCTACAGGGCCTTATCTGTACTCCTTTTACTCCAAACACCCAAGATCAAAACTCCAAAGGTAAGCTCCTAGGAGGCCCATAACCAGTTAACAAATGGGACCACAATGCAGACTCATATTTCCATTTCCTCTCTCTAGCTCAGTTCTGGGGGTCATGCAGGCCAAGGAAGACAATATGGCATCAAGATGGAATCCAATCCTACCCTGGTAAGACCACGTGGCTTTGCTTAACCAGGGAATACTTGGCTGGGGGCTCCAGGACCTATCTTCCTTCACATGGCATAGATCTTCCATGACATTGGTCTTTCAGAATTGGCTCAAGAAAATGGAGCCACCAGTCATATGATCAGATATGAGTTCCCTCAGGCCTGTGAAGACCAATCCTGAACTAAGGGAGTTCAAAGCCTGAAAGGGAGAGGGTAGTCATAGGTAGACCGTTTCTTTGCCAGGTCCCCAGGAGCCAAGATCCTCTAGTGAAAATATGAGATACTAGGGAAGATAGCAAGATGTATCATCATAGTCTAGCAATTTGGGTTTTACCGCAATGATGGGGCCTGCTGACCAGTACAAGAGCAAGCAGCTCCCGAGGCAAAGCTAAAGCCCACATAGTCTAAAATAGAATGCTTCCCAGGGATACCACCACTTGCTACATTCCCTTTGGGGATGGGGTAGGGTTGGATTACAGCAAGGCACATTGAGTCTCCTGGCCATGTTAGATCAGGATGAGCAAAAATTTGGTAGAGGCATAGACTCATTCTGTAGTCTATAATGTTGCTCTTCTAAGAAAGGAACTGTGAGTATTGACTTTGTTGTGTGTGTGCTGCAAAGTCCCCTTCTGGAGAAGGGGAGGCATGAGGAAAGGGCAGAAAGCAAATGTAGAGCAGGGTGTCTCTGCTGCCCCTACTACCCTGCCACCTCTCCCTCAATTTTCTGCCCTCAGGGATAATCAAAGTGCGCATAGGATGAAGCCACTTGCACCTGTGTGTATAGAGGGAGGTGATAAATTGACCCATGCATAAAACATTTGTCTGGGCACTAAATTGCTCTCAACCATATCTAAGGATACTCTCCTGTTTTTGTTTGGCTTCTAGGACAATCCTGTTTTGCAGATTGCCTTAACCATGAATAGGTCAGACTTCCTTAATTGGTTGCTAAAGATGATTTTTTTTTTTGAATGAGGAATTGCAGGGCTGACAGGCTGCACCCCCAGCTGCTAGCTCTTTCCTAATCATGACCCAAGTCAGTAGGACCCTCAGGACATTGGAGCATTTGTGTGACCCCACACTTGATGGCTCAGCAGCCATCAGGTTCTCTCTGTTGCAAGGCACTTAGGGGATACTGGATATGGCTGAACAATCTCTGTGATAGAAATTGGAAGTGGGAGCTGGACGATGAAACATCAAAGATGTAGGAGGAGCGTCTCAGGGGTCCTGAGAGAGGAGGCTGAGGGCTTTACTCTGAGAGCCACCTTAGGCAGGGAAACCCCGAGGATGGATTTGAGATAGTGTGAAAAGATGGGGCAACAGACGAAAGAAATTGCATCTCCCCCACCCTAGGATGAAGGGGAAGAGAGTCTCCAGAGGACAATGGATTCTCTCTCCCCATTGCGGGAGCCTCGCCTCTTTGCTGCCGGGAAGCTCCCAGAAGACAGAGGAGCATTGAGGGCTGTGCACAGAGGCCACAGTGGCTCTGCTCGCACACCACCCGTTACTGCCAGCCTATGACCTGAGCTCCTTGGACGGCAGCCCACTCCCTGCACACCATGCCCTGGGACAGCGGCAGGAACTGTGAGCCTGGGTGCAGCGGGGGATGAGGGTGGGGACTCCAGAGGTGAAGGCCGAAAGGGTCTGGGGCTGCTCCTCTCCTGAGGGAAGTCCTGAGTTTCTTCTTGACATCTTGGCATCCAAATGCCCAGAAGGCAGAAGGCAAAGCCTACTTCCTTACAGAGGAGGGGACACAGTCCTAGAGCCACATTTTCAGGTTAAATATAAAAAGTCCAGGAGGAGGGTCTGTTCAGCATTTGGTACTCACAGACACGTAGGCTGTCAAGCAGATGACCAGGGAGGCAGTGATAGCGTAAGGGATGGACGTGTTAGGATTCTTGGCTTCCTCTCCGGTGGTGGCAATGATGTCAAAGCCAATGAAAGCATAGAAACATGTGGCCGCTCCTTGCAGCACCTGTAGGGATAATGGCATCTGTCAGGCTCAGGAGTTTAGGGCAGCACCAGGGCCTTCAATGTGGCACCCACAGTGGCCCAATGTCCTGCAGACGTTACTGAGTAGAGGAGGGGGTAACATGGTAGAGCTGGCACCGAACACCCAAGTTCTGGTCTCCTCTGCTTTCTCTCTGTGTGACTGAGCAATTTCCTCAGGTGTTAAGTGGAGATAAGAATTTTTTATGGCCAAATAAAAATTGGATCATTTAACACATTTGAATCCTTTTTTGGAAGCAAATGGGAGTATCAGTAAATCAATATATTGGCTATCTCTATGTCTTAGGGAACTCATTAGCTTTTATTTTCCTCCAACAGTTCTCAACCACAGCCATGGGCTATGTGGCTTAAGGATGTTTGTCGAGGGAGGGAGCTTCTGACATTTAGTGGAGGGGACTCAGATACTTCTGCACAAAGAAGAATTTTCCTGCCCCATGTCACGTTAGTGTCCCTGATAGATAATCTCTGTGAGTAACTTCCAGATCTGAAATGATATAAAAGATTTTCAGATCTTTAGATGTTCTGTTGCCTTCAAAGGGAAGACAGTAGAGACGGAGTTTGATTTTCTGTTCCTTTTGGAGGTTTAAGTGACCTAGCTGGGCATGAGGCAGGAGGTCAGAGCGAAGCTGGGGAGTGGGCATCCAGCCACATCTGCTGCATGTCTGTCTGTCAGAGCCTGAAAGCCTCCAAGGGCGATGGGGTCTACGTTAAGACATCAGTGAAAATTTTCCACTGAGGAATGTGTGACTTCCTTCTAAAGAATCTATTGAAATTTAAATGAGTTTTCCCCATCTCAGTATTTTCATTATTAGCTGGAAGTAAAAAATCTTCCTCTGAATACTCGGAGGATGTCCTTGTAGGGGAAGATGAGAGATTTTTTTTGGACTTGTGTGACTGGTTGAGGGGACAAGATGCAACCTCCAGAGGGGTCCAAGAAGTGAGGTCCCTGGTAGATTGGAATAGTTCCCCTGCTTTTTCTCTACATTCAACTTATAAATGATGTCATTCAAAGCCGAGCAGATGCTTGTCTAAAATTTTTGCCCTTACCTTACACACTAACTTCTTCATATGGAAAAACCAAGATACTGGATACTAGAACCTACAAGGTATATCAAAAAATTGAAGAGCTTCTTAAACCTTCAAAAGCAACCTTTGCTCATCTGTAAAATGAGCTAGTATCTTTTACAGTCCCTCCCAACAGAGATTCTAATGTTTCCATCCCTAGCCTAGCTAGGGGTTCTTACCCTCAGGGCAGGGACATTTAGGGGCTCTGCTGGGAAAGAGTTACATTTTTTTATTTTCAATAATTTCCAACTGGATGTTAGCATTTCTTTCCACCATGAATGCAGGTGACTCAGAGTACCTGTGATTTCTGTCACCAATAACAATCTGATATAATAATAGATATTAGTATTTAAAGCACTAATTAAGAAGCACATTGTTTTTGCATCACAATTAAAAATATTTATTACTCTATTTAAATATGATTGATTTGCCTCGAATTACTGCATAATTGGGTTCTTCATTGAAAATCCTAATTTTCATAAGGCGTCCATAAGCCTCATCAAACTGCAAAGGGGTCTATGGCACAAAAATTTAAGAATTCCTGTCTATTCTAATAAGTCAGGCAAAAACAACTTCCCAAACATAAGTGGTTCCATCTTGCGAGTGCTACTTTCTGGAAAGCAAGAGAGCTACTTTGCCTCCTGAAAAACCCTTCATGTCAGGGTATGGAAAGTGGATTTGGCTGCCAGACAAGGAGAGAAAACAGATTTCATCTCCCTATCCAGGGAGATTCACAGTCTTGAAATGGTGCTGGCTTTCACTTGTCTAGAACATATCACTGGTATTCAAGGATGAGCAGATGATGGGATTGCAGGCTCACTAGGTTATCCTGACCAAGCCAAGCCTCACTGTAAGACAGCTTCCAGAAAACAGGTCTTGCTTTCCTTTCCTTTAGCATCTTTCTTCCCTTCCACAGAGGAAGACAGGTAGACACTCAGCCATGGGCACATCCCACTCCTGTAAATCACACGGTACCTGGCACAGTAGCAGGTAAATTTGAATAATATCCTTAGAAAAAAGCAAGAGGTCTATGAACCACAATACATGAGGCATAATGGGGGACCCAGGGATGTGTAACCTGAAGAGTGGGAGGCTCTGTAGAAAGCATGGATACCTACGAATTTCTGAAGTACCGAGAGTATCACAGCTGAGGTGGAGGTGCCCTGTAGGCTCCAGAGGGGACTCCAGAGCCATGAATTTGTGGATTTTTGTTTATTAGAACAGTAGTCCTTGTAGACTGTCAGACCTGGTCTGGTTCTGCCACATATTAGCTTGATGATGTAGAACAGATTCCTAACCTCTTAATCCTTAAGTTTCTTTATCACTAAAAGGGAGATAATAATAACATGTAGTTCAATTTCAATGAATATTAACTTTTACCACCATTACTATTATTACTATTATAAATTTTTCTAGAGCAGATAAAACCCAAGAGAACAAATTCCTTCTCCTCCTATCTTTTTCTTTCTCCTCCTCTTCTTATTCTACTCTCCTTCATTTAGAACTGTCTCTCTCTCTCTCTCTGTCTCTCTCTCTCTCTCTATATATATATATAGAGAGAGAGAGGGGGGGGAGGGAGAGAGAGAGGGGGAGAGAGAGAGAGAGAGAGCGCGCTGCCATGTGTCAGGCACTGTGTTTGGTAATGGTGATAAAGTCATGAGCCAAAAGTACTCTGAACATGACCTTGGAAGATTTGAAGTCTGGAATATTTGGAGTCTGCAAGAACCTAAATGCAAACTTGACTGTAATAACAAACTGGAAAATATTATTAGGTATTTACATTATTTGGAAAACATAAATGCTTTTTATTTTCCAGATGAATGAAAGAATGGATGGCAATTATTGATAATGATTAGATACCAGAAAATTAAGTATTATCAAGCTGGGAAGAGAGAGAATGTTTATAAAGAGGATGTATGTGAGCCTGAATTTGCATCTATGGAATATGAAAAGCAATTAGAGTTGAAGAAAAACTGAACAGATCAAAGTTAGGACATCTGGAGGTTAGGACATCTGCATTAGGCAGTCAACAGAATTTAACTCGGATGATTCAAATGAAATGACATCAAAGAAGGGACTGTAGGTGAGTATGAACCAGTGTGTAAGGCAGGGTTAAGGAGCCAACTTGGGATGTTGAGGAAATAGTAAGATGGTATAATCCTAAGCCCAGAGGCAGGATAGAAGTGTGTTCCTGGATGCCATGGGGAGCTGGAGAGGTAGAACAGGGACTGCCAGTGTGGTTCCAGGGCTGGGAGGGAATGAGGAAGAAATCCCCTGGCCTTTTCCTCTTCTCGTCTTCTGCTCACCTGATAACATCTTCCACTGGCTAAACCCAACAGGAAGCAATGAGCAAGGAGTCTTCTGGAGCACAGGACAGAGCATGAGGGGTGGAGAATGGACCTGGGCAGTGGAGGCAAAGGGGCAAAGACCAGCACAGCTGCTAAGGTCAAGCATACCTGGCTAATTGAGACACAGATTAAATAAACAGATTATCAAAGGGAAGACAAAATTAGCAAAAAGGTTGCCTTTTTCCTTGAGTTAATTCAAATGAGTTTTTCTTCCCTGCAAATGGTAAATATAAAAGAGTCATGAAATGAGACTGTGTAGGTGCATCTCTACCCAAATAATCACTAAAACTGTTTTCCACGTCACTCTCTCCAGATCTCCTATCTGTCCGTTTATGATTAGGATACCTTTACATGCATGAAAGAATATGTGAGGTTCCCTGGGAGTGAGCATCTGGGAATACAATTGGTGAGTAAAGTGGTGTGTATGTGTGTGTGTGTGTGTGTGTGAGAGAGAGAGAATGCATGTGTTTGTGTGTTTCTGGGGTTATTGGTACTTTATCCTAATTCTTTCCTTTAGCGTCTTACATAATTTAGAAATTGTATTGACTTTTAAATTTGATGGCAAAACTGAAGTTGTTTTCCAAAGTAAGCTGGGTGATCCAGAATGGGTCCATGCCTCTAAGAGCTTTGTGGGGAAGCAGCATGTGCCTCAGTTGCTGGAAGGCTGTGGCTTACCTAGTTGTAAAAAACACAAGGTCACAGTGGCCTGCTACTCAGTGTGTGGGGTCCTTGAAAGCAGGCTCCCGTGCCTTGATGATATTTGAGAGGCATTAGGATGCGGTGGCCCTCCCATATTCTGTCATGGTCAGTCTGCCAGATGCCTGGGTGACAATTAGGCACCTTTACATAATTCACTTCCAAGGTACAAGACAAATTCCCACTTTAATAGCATTTTTCAACCACCCTCGTGCCCCAGCTCTATTAGCAGCCCATCCACCGTTGACACTGGAATGTGCTAATAGGTTCCAACAAATGGATTCAGATGTGGGGAACATGAGAAACAACTTTCCCTTTGTTTGGGAGGTTGTCAGAATTCCCCACACATGCTTGCTGCCGACCATTTTCCTGGGAGCTATTTGTGCTGGTAGAGTATCTTACGTGGTGAAAGAAAAACTGTAAGATAGCATCAAGAACAAATAACATAAAGGGAACACATATCCAACAATTTTCAGGGGATGAGAAATTGCAGATGGAAGCCGGGGTTCAGCTCAGGGCTGGAGTTACTTGATATAGGGGGAAAATGTTTGTTGTTCTTAAGCTCTTCAAGACCCAAGAAGCATTTGACCCAGACCTGTAAGTGAGTAAACCATTCCTTAAGCTATTTTCTTTGGAAGGAAGCAGTTGGAGCAGGGGAACTAGCAGGCTTGTGAGGACTGGCTGTTCCTTAACCCTTTTGAAGTTCTTGAGAATTATGTTTAATGTCATCCTTACAAATGCATCCTTACAAATGATGGCCCCAAAAAATGGTATTCCCCAGTCCCCGAAAAATGGTGATCCCCAGTCCATCCTACCCAAAGTAGATTGGAACTCTGCATTAGTCTCCCAGTCAGCAGTAGGGGTCAGGGTTTCCCAAAGGAGTGAAGAGTTCATGCAGCTGCTAAGTAGGAAATACACTCTTGTTGATATTTGTTAGGTAAGAATGGGAAATGTGTTTACTACCTCAGTGGATAATATGCTCATGAGAGGAGACCTTCAAAAATAGGATTTAAATTCACAGGGGCCTTGCTGGACTGGAAAAGTGACCTGAAACCAAAGTTGAGAAAGAATAGGGCCAGGCCCACGTACTAGGGAGGAAATGTACTCTGTAGCAATCCAAGGCCAAGCAGAGAGCAGAGAGGATGAGTCAGCAATGTCTTCACACTGGGCTGGGCCTCAGCCTCAGATGATACTTTTAGTCACAGTCACTAGGACATACACTTGAGTTCCCTTCAGGGTTAATGGATTTGCGCTGAAAATCCAAAATCCCAGTTAAGCTTTTTTGGTGACAATGACAAGTCTACTGAAGATAGTAGGTGTGTGTTGGAGGAGGTGGTAACCAAGGTGCAAAAAAAGACAATGGGTCCCACAGGTCCAAACCTGGGGTGGGGGGGAAATGGAGTAAATATGGGCATTGGCTCATCCAGGATGGGGATTGGATTTTCCTCTATTACAGTCCAGATCTGTGATCTTCAATTTTTAAAACCCGTTATTTTGGTCTAAGAGTGGAGATGGTCATACTTATTTTATAGAGCTCTTATGAAGATTAATTGAAACGTATATAAGAAAGAGTTTATCACACAGAAAATGGAAAACGGTAGGAAAGTCAGACTTCTTTTCTTTTTTTTTTATGCCTAAATTCTGATCTTCCCTTGGTACAGAAGCTGGTGGGAACCCCAGGACGAGGGACCCCTAAGGCTGACTTGATTACTACTTCCTTGACAAGGTGGTCCTTAATGGAGGAGGGCTGTGGAGCCCCTGAGAAGGGAAGAAGGGACCTCAAAAGAAAATCAAGACCCCAGAACAAAGCACCAGGGGAAAGAAAAGCCTACAAGGCTTGTTTAATCTCCTTTAGAGTGTGGAAAGAGCTTTTTCACAGAGGATATGAACTCTTTCTACTCTACCTGGGGCCTGAGCTACAGTGTGCGCCATGCAGGTGAGCCATTAGGAGGACTCTGGCAAGAAAAGAGCCCGATTATCTTTTAATGTTCCTCCCAGCTCCAAGATTCCAAGACTTTGTGAAAATTTAAAAATAAATAGAACATGCCACATGAATTACCTTATTATTTTATTGTTTTAAAGAAGACTTACAACAAGGTACTTGATAAAGTAGAAAAGAGCTTGGGAGTCACACAGAACTGGGCGGGAACTTTAGTCCTGGAACTGACTGGCTAAGTGAGATCAGGTAGGTTACCCCACATAGGCTGCCCCACAGCTGGTCAGGGGTGAGTTTCTCTGCACCCTGCATTCTCTGCTTTTAAGTTGGGGCTAACATCACCCGCTTTGAAGTATTATTAAAAGAGAGATAATATTCAAAAGTGTGATTCCAGCATTCAACAGGGTAGTCAGTAAGTGCCAGCTCTTTTCCTCTCACCACCATAACTATTTGTAACTGCAAGAATGTACGCATAAAAACAGCTAAGGTTTTGTTCTTGTTTGAAAGCATTTGGTGCAATTTGTTTTTCTGCTGATACGAAGAGAATACCAGGAGCACGAAGGTTAACTGATGCCAAAGTCTTGTACGAAATCCATGACCCGATAATTTCTTATGTTGTTAAGAAAATGGTGAGAACATTTTCATGAACTATAAGAAAAAAATGCAATTGAATTCCAGGAAAACATTCTCTCTTTTCACTTTTACATTTTGTTGTTTCTTTTATGTGATAGGAAGGGAACAATTTGTATCATAAGAAAATAAAGATGTGGAAATGCAGAATAGGGTCAACAGTATTTCTTTGTCTCTTCTTCTGGTTTTAACCAGTTTCATTGTTTTTTCATTTCAGAAGGGAGTGATGAACTTGGTGGTTCTGCGGAATTTTTATAGATAAGCACAAAGATAGAAATTTTGAATTAAATTGCTCCCTTGCTTGTTTCTCTGCATTGAACAGCATGGCACAGTTCAGAATAAACAGAAGTTATTTTGAGTGTTCTCCAAGAGTGATTTCGGATCCCTGGACATCTTGGAGGGAAACCAGTTTAAGCAAAAGCTACACAAGCAAAGCCAGTAGACTCTTGGACTTGCATTTTTGCCCCCAGAACTAAGCAGACTCTTCTCTCTTGGCCTCTGGTTATTCATTCTTTTGTCAGATGAGGGAATAGGACCAGAGGACCTCTAAGATTCCTGCCAGCTGAAAATTCTCTAGAGGATTTATGTTCTACCATCAAAAAAAAAAAAAAAAGCTTGTGAATTTTACCAATAAATCCCAAAATGAGCATTTTTAGTTATACTAGAGAAAGAAACCAGACACAACTTAGAACCACCTGTCATTGTAAGGAATTTGCCACTCTGACCTTCTCATTTGGGTTTAACATAAACCACACCACCAGATCATGGGGATGAGACCTGAAAATGTCCTTTGGTCTAGCCTGCTCTCTTGCCAACTCCCTGACAACACTAGGTAGATTTCTCTGCTGTGAACCATGCCTCTGGAATGGAATTTACAACCAGCCCTCCAATGAGCCAGCTCAAATGCCCTCAGACTTTCAGCGGGTCAAATGTTGGGACTGGATTAAAAACTGTCCTTTGCCTAATTTTATACCAAGGCAAGCCTCATCCTTCCCTTTTGCGTCCACTCTCCCTGGCTTCCTTTACTGCCTTGTCTGTTTATTTATGTGCCTGTTTGTCTTAGTAGACTGTAACAGACTTCTACAGAACTGAGCTGTTCTTGTACAGGCTTTGGAGTCCACAGTCCTGGTTTTGGGTCCTGATTCTGCTACTTACACAGTGTGCTTAATAGCAAGTCCTTTGTCTTCTCCAAGCATCTTTTCTTTTTCTTTTTAAAATGTGTATCTTTAAAAAATTTTTTTTAGTTGTTGATGGACCTTTATTTATTAATAAGTGGTACTGAGAATCGAACCCAGTGCCTTACACATGCTAGGCAAGTGCTCTAGCACTGAGTCACAACCCCAGCTCTCCAAGTGTGTTTCCTTTTTTTTTTAAAATTTTTTATTGTTGGCTGTTCAAAACATTACATAGTTCTTGATATATCATATTTCACAATTTGATTCAAGTGGGTTATGAGCTCCCATTTTTACCCCATATACAAATTGCAGAATCAGCCCTGACTGTAAATATTTTCCTCTTGAGATTATTGGGATGATGAAATGAAATATCAAATGCAGAGTACTTTGCACTATGTTCGGCATATTGCAAGTGGCCACATCGGTGGGGTCATTATTATTATTTGTATAGAATAGAATCATGATAGATGTTTGTGAAACAAATACATTTTAAAAAAAGCCATTTCTTCAGAACATTCCAATTAAATTTAGATTATAAGGATGAAGAGGGTGCCATGAGAATTATGGAACAGAGCAGCATTTTCTTGAAAATATGTCTTAGACGGATCTCAGGGTGGGAGACAGACAACATCTACAGGGCTTTAGGAATGAACTCACCCCTGACCAGCCATGGGGCAAGAACTGGCCTTCCGCCCAGTACTTTCCATTGATGAAGAAGAGGCCTGCGATCATGATGAACACCCACACTGCCAGGTTCAGCACATTGAGCACGTTGTTGAAGCCCACGGAATTCTTCACCCCCAGAGCGACAATGATGGTCACAATGACAGCAATCACCAGAGCCAGAAGGTCTGGGTATGATTCTTCACCTTTCCCTAGAGCAGAGGGACAGGGTTTAGTATTGTCCAGAGGGAAGAAAGGGTCAGGCCAACTCCTGACCCATCCTATGTTCCTGCACTCAGCTCTGTCCCTCCAAGTGATGGTCAGTCTGTAGGGAGGAGAAGGAACTCTGTGTGTGTGAGTATGTGTGTGTGTGTGTGTGTGTGTGTGTGTGTACACATGCCTATGCTGCGGTCTACAAGCAAATATAAGTGTCCATCAGGTAAGATGACCTGATATCCTGGACCCAAAATTGGGATGTGTGATGTGACAGTTATGGCAGTATCTATGGAAACATGGCGCAGAGTATTTGAAATCAGGACAGTGCTAGACCCAAAAGGCTCTACAAAGAAACTATTAGAGCTAATAAATGAATTCAGCAAAGTGGCAGGATATAAAATCAACACGCATAAATCAAAGGCATTCCTGTACATCAGCGACAAATCCTCTGAAATGGAAATGAGGACAACCACTCCATTCACAATATCTTCAAAAAAAATAAAATACTTGGGAATCAACCTAACAAAAGAGGTGAAAGACTTATACAATGAAAACTACAGAACCCTAAAGAGAGAAATAGAAGAAGATCTTAGAAGATGGAAAAATATACCCTGTTCATGGATAGGCAGAACTAACATCATCAAAATGGCGATATTACCAAAAGTTCTCTATAGGTTTAATGCAATGCCAATCAAAATCCCAACGGCATATCTTGTAGAAATAGAGAAAGCAATCATGAAATTCATATGGGAAAATAAAAGACCCAGAATAGCAAAAACAATGCTAAGCAAGAAGTGTGAATCAGGCGGTATAGCAATACCAGACTTCAAACTATACTACAGAGCAATAGTAACAAAAACAGCATGGTACTGGTACCAAAACAGGCGGGTGGACCAATGGTACAGAATAGAGGACATAGAAACCAATCCACAAAACTACAACTATCTTATATTTGATAAAGGGGCTAAAAGCATGCAATGGAGGAAGGATAGCATCTTCAACAAATGATGCTGGGAAAACTGGAAATCCATATGCAACAAAATGAAACTGAATCCCTTTCTCTCGCCATGCACAAAAGTGAATTCAAAATGGATCAAGGAGCTTGATATCAAATCAGAGACACACCGTCTGATAGAAGAAAAAGTTGGCTACGATCTACATACTGTGGGGTCGGGCTCCAAATTCCTCAATAGGACACCCATAGCACAAAAGTTAATAACTAGAATCAACAAATGGGACTTACTCAAACTAAAAAGTTTTTTCTCAGCTAAAGAAACAATAAGAGAGGTAAATAGAGAGCCTACATCCTGGGAACAAATCTTTACTCCTCACACTTCAGATAGAGCCCTAATATCCAGAGTATACAAAGAACTCCAAAAATTAGACAATAAGATAACAAACAACCCAATCAACAAATGGGCCAAGGACCTGAACAGACACTTCTCAGAGGAGGACATACAATCAATCAACAAGTACATGAAAAAATGCTCACCATCTCTAGCAGTCAGAGAAATGCAAATCAAAACCACCCTAAGATACCATCTCACTCCAGTAAGATTGGCAGCCATCATGAAGTCAAACAACAACAAGTGCTGGCGAGGATGTGGGGAAAAGGGTACACTTGTACATTGCTGGTGGGACTGCAAATTGGTGCAGCCAATTTGGAAAGCAGTATGGAGATTTCTTGGAAAGCTGGGAATGGAACCACCATTTGACCCAGCTATTCCCCTTCTTGGTCTATTCCCTAAAGACCTAAAAAGAGCATGCTACAGGGACACTGCTACATCGATGTTCATAGCAGCTCAATTCACAATAGCAAGACTGTGGAACCAGCCCAGATGCCCTTCAATAGACGAATGGATAAAAAAAAATGTGGCATTTATACACAATGGAGTATTACTCTGCATTAAAAAATGACAAAATCATAGAATTTGCAGGGAAATGGATGGCATTAGAGCAGATTATGCTAAGTGAAGCTAGCCAATCCCTAAAAAACAAATGCCAAATGTCTTCTTTGATATAAGGAGAGTAACTAAGAACAGAGTAGGGACGAAGAGCAGGAGAAGAAGATTAACATTAAACAGAGATGAGAGGTGGGAGGGAAAGGGAGAGAAAAGGGAAATTGCATGGAAATGGAAGGAGACCCTCAGGGTTATACAAAAGAACATACAAGAGGAAATGAGGGGAAAGGGAAAAATAATACAAGGGGGAGAAATGAAGGTCAATAGAGGGGGTAGAGAGAGAAGAGGGGAGGGGAGGGGAGGGGAGGGGGGATAGTAGAGGATAGGAAAGGTAGCAGAACACAACAGACACTAGTATGGCAATATGTAAATCAATGGATGTGTAATTGATGTGATTCTGCAATCTGTATATGGGCTAAAAATGGGAGTTCATAACCCACTTGAAGCAAAGTGTGAAAGATGATATATCAAGAACTATGTAATGTTTTGCACAACCAACAATAAACAAAAAAATAAATAAATAAACAATATTTTTAGCAAATAAAAAAAATTAAAAAAAAAAAAAGAAATCAGGACAGTGCTAGAACCTTTGGGATATATCTAGAGGTCTAACATGTTCTTTGAAAATGGTTTTATCTTCATGGTGGTTAATTTCCTAGTGTGTAAAATTTCCATTACCTTCCAACAATCTTTTATTAACAAATTAAAAAATTCCTGTCTCTCAGCTATCCTACTCCTCCGTCTATATCCAAAGGACTTAAAAACAGCATACTACAGGGACACAGCCACATCAATGTTTATAGGAGCACAATTCACAATAGCTAAAATGTGGAACCAACCTAGATGCCCTTCAGTAGATGAGTGGATAAAGAAAATGTGGATATATACACAATGGAATATTATTCAGCATTAAAAGAGAATAAAATCATGGCATTTGCAGGTAAATGAATGGAGTTGGAGAATATAATGCTGAGTGAAGTTATCCAGTCCCCCCAAACCAAATGCTGAATGTTTTCTCTGATTTAAGGATGCTGAGTCATAATGGGGGTGGGGGGTTGATGGGAGAAATAAATGAACTTTAGATAGGGCAAAGAGGAGGGAGGGGCCATGGGGGTAGGAAAGACGTGGAATGAGATGGACATCATTACCCTAAGTACATGTATGAAGACATGAATGGGTGACTCTACTTTGTGTACAACCAAAAATATGAACAATTGTGCTCTATATGTGTAACACGAATTGTAATGCATTCTGCTGTCATATATAACAAATTTAAAAAAATACACTGAAAAAAAATGCATGTCTCTGAAAACAATTTTAAGAGGAATTTTCTTTCGATTCGTGGGGATGTAATTGTAGAGAGAAAATGACCAGCACACAGGACCTGCCTGCTTAGTGTTGCCCATTGGTCAGTGAACTCCTGCCCTCTATAGAGTAGAAAAGGCACTGCTGCTGCAGGCATCTATGGAATATAAATGAATTTTGTGCTTAGATTTGGGTCCTGAATTTTAGCTGTGCTTTGGCCAACAGCCAGTGGTGTGGCCTTGGGCGTGTTGTCTTGTGCTGGACCTCATCTGTAAAGTTTAGGAGATGGATGACTGAATTTTGGGCCATGTCACTCCTAAATTTTCTGAGATCAGTATATGGCACAGGCACAGTCTGCGTACTTTTTATTTTGTCATGGTATCTCGGTGCTCAGCATTTTTGTCAGTTTTTCTGACACTGAATTTAAATGACTTGTCACAGCCACAGACTCATTCCTTGGGAGTTTGGAGGAAAGGCTGCAAGACTTCCTCACTTACAGGTTAATTTCCACAACTTTGAAAGGATGGAAAGTGAGTGGCAGGTGACAGATGGAGCCTGAGGTCTTGTGGTATGCTAGGTGTTTCACTGTCATTCAGCTCTATTACCCTTCCTTGACCTTTGCTAGAATGGAATTCATTTTAAACATTTTATTTTAAATTTGCTTACTTATGAAAATCTGAAAAATATATTCTGATGAAGCTACCAGAGAAGTTCTTTCCAGTTCTTTTTTCTGAGTTTGTTTTGTTTTATATAGTCATTGACATGGTGCATGTATGGTGCTTTTTATATCCCTTTATATGGGGACATTATGTTAAAATATATTTCATATTATTATCACAGGCTTCCTTAATCATCTTTTTAATTGTTATGTGCATAATATGTACAATTTACTTACTTATTTGTTCCATTAAAGAATATTTAGGCTCTTTCTAATTTTTTGATTATTATAGGTTCAGCTTCCCTAATCCAAAATTCCAAAATCTTAAATGCTGAAGAATTTGAAACTTTTTGAGTCCTGACATGATTTTGCCACAGTGGAAAAAAATCACACTATGAAACTTTGTTTCATGCATGAATATATTAAAAATATTTAATGAAGCTATCTTTGGGTTATATATATAAGGCATCTATGGAACATAAATGAATTTTGTGCTTAGATTTGGGTCCTGTTGCCAAGATATCTCATTAAGTATTGGCAAATAATCCCAAGTCTGAAAAAATCCATAATTCAAAAAATTCTGATCTCAAGCATTTCAGACAAGAGATACTCAACCTTTTTAAAAATAAGGCTGTAAAGAACAACTTTTTATATAAAGTGTTCAGAGAAGTTAGAAAAATTTTCTTAGTATGAAGAATTTGCAAAACCAAAAAGAAGCAGGTGAGGTTCTTGATACATTTTGCCAAATTACAGTCTGAAAGAGGAATCCATTTGTTTGGCTCAGTAAATTTGCATGTTGGGGAAAGAGGCTACAGCATTCTCACCCAGTCCATTGAGGGTTCCCACGCTGTTCACCATCCAGCGACTGATGGTGTGGTTTGCCAGTGAGTCAAACATGCTGCTCAGAGCACTGGCGCCAGCTGCAGTGCCAATCAGGTACTCCAGGATCAGGTTCCAGCCAATGAAAAATGCCACAAATTCACCAACAGTGACATAGCTGTAGGTGTAGGCAGATCCTGTGGTTTTGGGCACTCGGACTCCAAACTCTGCGTAGCACACACCTGCAAAGGACAAACACACACAGATGGTGGACTTCAGGAGTGAACTCACTTTTTAGTGGCTAACAATCTTGGGTGGAAGATATTGTGGATCTCTGGGATTTTAGAACAAATACACAAAGTTTTATGTACCAGTCATGTGTCACCTAGTAGTGGGACACTTTCTGAGAAATGTGTTAGGTGATTTTGTTGTACGAACATTAGAGAGCTTATTTTCATGAACCTAGATGGTATAAGCTACTACGTACTGAGGTTATATGACATTTATAAGTATATATATGTCTATATCTATATATGAAATAGCTGGTTTACAAGAGGAAATGATATGATCGAGAGGTGCAGTAAATACAGTATGAGGCTATTGCTCATGTAACACAGCCTACTGTTTTACAGTAACCATTTTTTTATAAGTAGAAGGAGTACAGTCTAAAACACAGATAAACAATATGATATATTAAAAACACAAGCTAGTGACATAGTCATTTATTTTCATTACAAAGTATCATGTTCAGTTCATAATCATATGTGCTATATACTTATAAGCTTGGCAGGGCAATAGGTTTGTGTATACCAGTATCCCCACCAACATGTGAGTAAATGTGTTGCACTACAGATATTGAACCATTATGACAACTATGATGTAATTGATTGATAGGAAATATTCGGCTCCATTATAATCTATGACACCCCAGTCATATATGTGCTCTCTCATTCACCAAAACCTCATTATGGGACACATGACTGGACATGAATTAATTCTACACTAATGTTAGCCAATTCCAATCTCATTTCCAAAACACTTTTAAGTGGAATGTCTGGGAAGGCACACAGAACTAATTCTACAGAACTATTAAAAACTGATCTTTATTTAGAAAATTTCCCCTTTGTGTGTTGTCTCTGTTGTATTCCTTAGGTGACAAAAATCCTGAGTTACTTGGACCTAATTCAGTGTGGTCTCTCCAATGGCACCAGTGGGCAATAACATTCTTTTTTCTTAAAAATTTTTTTTTAGTTGTCAATGGACCTTTATTTTATTTATTTATATGCAGAGCTGAGAATAGAGCCCAGGGCCTCACACATATTAGTCAAGTGCTTTTTACCACTGAGTTACAACCCCAGCCCCCTGCAATAACATTCTTCTCATTCAGTGTTGACATGTTATAGAAGATACTCCTCATTTGAGAGTGATGCTTTAAGCAGCCTGTGAAAATGCTTTACTGTATCAAGGGGGTAAATAAAAATATAGTTATTAATAAGGAAGTTAGCACATGCAGATTATAATTTGACAAACACTTTTGGAGTGCTCTGCAGAGTGTTAAGCACTAGGAATAAGAAACGCACATGCTGTGTACCCCTACCTTCAGGGGAAGATATGCCATAAAATCAGTGCACATGGTTGGCTGTACACACCCAACAGTGTGGAAACGCAGGAGAACAACGAGAGCCGAGATGTGAGATGTGTACTCAGTTGTTTGAGGTCTAGGGAGGAATTCATTGGATAAAAAAGAGATAAAGACATGGCAGAGAGAGACAGTGTGAAGCATTTGGGTGGAGGAGCCATGTACATGGGGTTATCAGGAGATGAGTCTGGAGGGAAGCAGAAGCTGTACATTTTCCAAAGCAGGTTCAGGGCCTCTTTTCATCAGATCATCCACTGAACCCTAATTTCCAGGGGGATTTGCAATTTAACAAGCACCTCAGTAATGCTCTTGTTCACTTACATTTGAAAAATATCAGAACATTTCTTTATTCTTCAATGTGATTAGAGATCAAATTAGAAAAAAAAAAAACTGAGCATGCACCAAACTTCTGGAAGCTGGCAACTTCTTTTGGCTGGCTGCGAATTCTGGTGTGGGGCCAGTGGGAGCACAGAGTGGGACAGCTTGGAGAAACACCAGGAGTTGGACAGATGTAGGCCGATGTATGTGGAACTCAAACTTTACCTTCAGTCCCCATTTTATTAAGGGTCAACCCTGAGGTTCTCTCATCACAAACCAGGGAACAATAGTTCACTCTTTTGTGAATAAAGAGAGCAAGTTTCTTCTCCTTTTGAAGGGGGTGAAATCAATGCAAGGAAGTGAAAACAGAGATGTCAAAAGCAGTGACACAATACACGATTCAATGTGATGTAATCTCTCTTCCTTCCCCTCGGTTGCTTCAGTTGTGAAGATGTCCCTATGGAAGAAACGCTGTACCTGTTAGGCTGGGCTCCTGTCTCCTTGACACCCCTTCAGATTCAGTTTCCTTCTTTGTAAAAGAAAAGTATTATACAAGATGCTGTCATAAGGGTCTCCGAACTCTGACACTCTAGAGTTCTATATGTTGTATTGAATCTTGCTGCAAAATATGCTGAGCATAACTTTTCTTCTGTTTTTAAGTTAACTCTTATCTATCAATTACTAAATTGTCCTGTATTATGCAGATGCTCTTGGGGATAGTCAAGCCCTTTGTCCCCACATTAAATGGCCCAGGTTGCTATTTAGTTTTAGTTCCTATGTCCTCCCCCAACTTTGAAAAATAACTTTTCTGTTTCCTTCCTTGATGTCAGACTGTCAGTTTTTACTTCTTGTTACTGTTGTGGTGCTTACCTGGAGCAGTCAGACCACCTCTTTTCTAAATTGCTGCTTCTGACACAGGATGTTTAAATTGTTAGAGTGAGTCTAGAATTAAGAGGAAATGGTCTTTGAAGGAAGGCCTGAAGAACTCTGTCATGAGGAGAGTAGAGAGTATGCATTAAGTATGAGGACCTAATGATATTTTCTTGAAAGCCTAGAGACTTTGTGTTAGCTTCTGAGTTCTTGGGTATTGAGTTTGCACATACAGATTGTGTTGATCTACTAGTTCTGGGTGAGGAAGTGATTAGGAGGCAACTAATTTCTTTTTTTGATGTAGCTTTATCCAATAATCCCTGTATACTATGAGCTTATTCTCTCTACCCATTTGAACTTCCTAAAAACGTTCAAGGCTCATAAATAGAATTTTTTTTTCCAAGTGATGCTTTGAAACAGCATTGATTTGACTGTAGATTTAATTTGGAGAGCCTGTGAGTATTGTGGAGTTTGTGCAATCAAATATTCCCTCCATAATATTTGATCTTCTAATTAAATGTAAAAACACCCAATTCACCATTAGACCCCACTTGTTGAGGGTAATTTAGTTGAAAGCCAAGTCTTCCATAGGTCTTGGGAAGGGACCAGTCCTTTGCTGTCCTGAGTCAGAGGAAGAGGACCTGACTATGCATGGTTTAAGCAGTCTTTGGAATCTCAGTCATTCATTTCACAAGGTCCTGGGGGAACCTGGTGACTATAGAGTGGGGAGAACAGGGAGAAGGTCAATCAGTCAGTAACCATAGAACACAATTTCTGTTTCAAGAAATTCTTCTTTAGACACATCTTAAGTGATCTTCTAGTGTTTTCAATTCCTTCTGATTTGTTTGTATGCAGGAATCCAGGCTTCCAGTGGGTAGGCACCAGAGATTATCTAACTGGTCATTGAAACTTAATGGAGAAGTGAAAGTTTACAAGCCCAAATATCCTTGATAAAACTGGAAATTTTGTCAGTCAATCAACCATTTAAAAATAGCTGATGCATGAGAGAGATACATTTAAAAATATCCTTCTAATTTCAATAAAAAATAAAAACTATGGAAAGGGAAACCTGGTTTTCTTCTTAGATTACCTAGTAACTGAATGTCCAAGACTAGGTTTCTTACCCCTCTCGTGGGTGAAATGAAGAGACTTACTCGATAAGCTTTAGAGTCTCTTCTATAGTGCATCCTCCTTGGGTTTCACAACTAGAGTCAACTTTTATCATCTGGGCCAATGGGGGAAGCCTATAGAAAATACTGCCAAGCTGTGGTTATCACAAAGGCAGAACATTCTGCTAGGAAATCTTTGGGTGCATCTATGATTCTCATAATGATTGTGGTCACTTGTGGCATTAAACGGTCAGGGGCCTGGGCTGCTAGACATTCTGTGAATAATGTCCCAGAGCATAAAGCACTGTCTTATGTTTTACATGACTTCTGAAGGTTCCAATGGACATTCATTTAAGTAAAAATCTGTTCACAGTTTCTGAACCTGAAAGTATCTCTATTTACATATAAACTTTTTTTTTTTTTAGCATGGCTTTATATGCATTTTCTAGGACTGTAACAGCGGGATCAATTGAGGGACAGCTGGAACTTATTTTCTTTGGAATTTATCAAGACTTGGTCATCATTTTGGAAAACGACATTGTCAACACAACATCACTCACAGTCTCTGAGCATCACATATACACCCAGGTGAGTGTGCGTTTGTGACAATTGTATTCATAGTGGCTCTACAAATGACTGCAAGCCTCTGACAGCTTCATTATGTCTCCTAATGTACTTGGGACCCAGCGTTCACACAATGAAATAAATATTGTTTTTATTAGAAATTTGCTTATCTTTCATGCTCAGGGCATGATTTTTTTTTGAAGAATTAAATGGATAGGAACATAGCATTATCTCTAGTTTTCATTCCAGAATACTAAGGGAAGCATTACACAGTGTTTATTAAGAGCTGTTTTAGCTGTACTAGAACAGAGAATCACTATTCTAACTGAGAAATAAATGTATAAAGAATCTTTACTTCGTTTGAGAATACAGTAAAAATATTTTGTCCTAGAGTTATCTTCCTAATCATATGTGCCTTATGTTTTTATCCAAGTGATTTTGCTTTTCTTGATTATCCATCAAATGAGTGGAGAAGAAGAGGCATATTGATTCCACAAGAGGATCACCTTGTAGCTGGAGAAAATCAATATTGAATACAATATTGGGGTGCAGGTGGCTGTCAGAAAGTGACTGCATGCTGTAAAACACATGCTGAAAATTTTCTCATTAGAGTTTTTCAGAGCTGGGAACTCCAAGACAGGCCTGGTAGGGATAAGAGTGATTTCCCACAGTCACAACTTCAACACCTTATCCCATCAGCCTTCCTTTAAGAATACTGTAAACATATCCTGATTTACATTTT